GGAGCCTCTCAGTCAGCAAGACCTGTCGACAGGCTCTATTTGCTGAAGCTAATTTTTCGTGGCAGGTACTCCTGTAACATGCATAAAATATTGATGACGCCTTTCTGCAATGTGATGTGCTGGTTCGTTTTTCTCTAAAACAAACTGAGAAACGACTAGACGCACTAACTGTATCTCCTTGTACTCTCAAGATACTACGATGAAAGTACTCTAACAGACAACAGGTTACCGGGGTACTCAGTGGGCATTATTACCGAGTTAGCAGGAGCACATTCACGCTTGGTGTAAGTCGACGTCAGCTTCGACAGTAAATGCGCTCGAAGGCGAATTTCGTGCGCCCATGCGCCGCACACCTTTAAGCGGATCCGTGTGTGCTTTCGAGTTGGCATTTATAAAGTTTGTAAGCAGACCTGTTTTCTTGTTGTTTGACGTGCTTATGATCACATGTTACGTGGCTAGTCCTATACTTATGAAAACCTTCCATGAACGGCTCCTGTGTGGTCTTTTATATTTCGCTGTGTAACATTTTATTAATATGAATGGTTGGCTTGCAGTAAGTATTTGTTTCCCTTGGTTTTGACACAGATGCTTTATTGATATTGTGTGATAAGTTTTTACTGCCTAAGAATAGCAGTAGCCATCTTTGCTTTATGGATTTGCTTAGTTGTTGCATATAATCGCCCAGACGTCACCTGATGTGTGTGAGCGGAAGCGAGCATGTGATATCGGGGGGAATGCGCTAACTTTCGGTTGGCTTGTTTGAACACCTGCTATATCCTGATTCTCTCGCTTTGTCCCCTTGCATAAACAACCCTTATTTTCATATAGATCAGTGATAATTTCTTTGCTTTAGTCAAAACCTCAGCAAATTTTTTAAAATTTTCCTAAAGAAACATTTTGAAATACTAAGTCGGCTACTAGGATCAAAATGTTTTTGAAAGCCTGATTTTGTTTAATTTTGTGAACTTACCGTTGGATACATTTGAAAACGTCTTCAATTGTTGACAAGAACCTGTCGTTCCTGTTTCACAGACGCTTAAACGATGCGTTCCTGTACAAACACAGTTCTATTCGTTCTAGACTTCCCTATTCTAGGAAAAAAACGAAAGGATGAGAGATGTTTTTATCCCTCACTGACGTTTTAGCTCCGGTTCTCCTCCCAGTTCGACTTACAGAGGAAGTGTCGCTTTTTGGCTATTTTGTCGCTCCAAAGTTTTTTTCACCGTTCTTCCACGTGTAACTTTTTACACCGTCCGCCACTAAGTTTTTCTTAATCTTATTTCTGTGTCCTGTTTCTCAAGCTGTTTTCTTTATTTTCGATTTCTTAAGTTGATGCTTTTTGCCCTCGTTACGCAGTAACTAAATGAGTTCTATTTAGCATTTTGAATCGAACAGAAGCGCGAAATAGTTCTGAAGGAGAGCTCTTACGGAAATTTCTTTCATTTGCTTTTTAATATTTTGATTCATTGTTGTTATTATGAATGCGTGCTCTTGAAAATTGTTGATTTTAGTTTTTATTGGTAAGCTTCTGGCATTTGAATGAAAATGCAAATCAGAAGGCTGAAAGGCTCTTATAAAAAAACAAAAGCAAGAAGACTGAATGAAGCTAAAAAAGACTTTGACATGCTGATCTAGTCAAATAACCCCTTCTTTCAATTCAAAAATGTTCACGCACACCTCCTCGATGAAGGGCATCACCTAAAATCTTGAAAGACAAATGCCCCGGTTTTTTCAATTTTTCGTCGTGCCTTACTTTACACTTGAGCGTTCACCAGATCTCTTACCACAAAAATAAAATCATCAGATCTTTTCCAACAAAAATAGCAAGATCAAGCTTTTTGGCAAGATTCTGCAGTTAATTGCCCTTTTTGCAGTTGACAGGAAGGAAAAAGGAAAAGTTTGGGCCAGAATGACATGTGCCCAACTGTTTATATCTGTGCTACTGTTATTAATAGTTATCCCAAGAGTAACAGAGAGATTGTGAACGAAACAGTGAGAGCATACGGTTTCTTGACGGTTTGATTTTTCTTTCCAGGTTTCCTCATTACTCACGATACTATTTATAGAATATTACATCCTATGCTTTGTCGATGTGTCTATGTAATCCGGACCATTTGTTCTGATTAGATTACCAAAGTTATACATTCACTTGGGGTTTTATTTGGGTTTTACTATTGCAAACCCCTCTACATTCTTAGACTGCTGCCCTTGAACGGTAGTAAAAAATGTACTAATCCTGATCCGTTTACCACATTGAACTACTGGTAAATGCAAACCGTATGAAAAGTTCACACGATGTTTACAAAACTTGTCATCCTTTCGCTCCCGAATTTTGTTTAGAAAAGGAATTTCCTGTTTTTTTATGATTTACTTAGTTCACTTCGGTTTTGTGTGAAACCTTTTTCGTCCAATCAAGGTACCCTTCCTTGATGGTGCTGAAAATTAATGTTTTTTTAGAATTTTGTTGAATATAATGCTAGTGTGGGTGGAATAAATGCTGACGTCAGCTTATTCGTTTTTTATACATGAAAATTCATCTATGTTCAGACAGTTATGGCGTATCACGTGGGTGTATACTTTATGGTGTACACAGACACGATCCCATTCCATGTCGTGGGTTGTGTAATCATTAAAACAATTCCATTATTTACTTACGGGCAATGTGCTCATTTCCCTCCTGTTTCTGGGCAGTCACCGATCTTTACGTGCTAGCGGGTTATCATATCATGAATGAATGGGATCAGCCTATTCACAGTGTAATCATGTTTTGTATTGTGCGTTAGCCAGTGATTTTATTCAGTTCTCTTACGAGAACGGTAGCGTTTCTCGAGGTCATTTTCTTTTCTATCGATTGATTATACTGATCAACTGAATTCCCTTCAAATTCGAGCAGAGCGTGAAGGTTTCAGCGAGGGATTTTCAACAATTTGAAGCTACCCGTTTGAAACCCAAGGTAATGCAAATTATTTTTAAGAATTTTTTTATTATGATCGACAGCAGTCTCTTGATAACCAAGCGTGATCCCACACGGCTTTCAAGGTCTGCGAGAGTAACGGCGAATTTACTTCCTTCTGATGCTCCAGCCCCTCTTCTTTCTTATTTCAACAGGTGATTTGGAAGCAAAGAATTGCATTTGCACGGAAACGCTGACGTTTCCTTATCAAAGAATCCCCTGATTATCAGGCCCTTGTTGTTCTTACTAGAAGTTATGTGTCAATTTTTAATTCGTTATCATTCTTTGACCAGAACCTCCGTTCCTTTAACGCCGATAAAAATATTTTCTGAATATGAATTGTAAAAATGCTCACGACTGTCTAGCTTTTCCGAATAGATTTATTTGATTCATTGCCATCCCACAAATTATAGTTTACAATCAATAGTGATTGTTGTTTTCCATTATAACCACCATTCACCTATCTCCTGTGGTCCCGATAATCATCGATTTCTTCGAGGCACAGTGGCGTTTCCATTCGTCCCGCTATAACAAAATAATGATATATACTATATATCACATGCAATGAATATGGGAATCTACATTTATTCGTTTTTTTTNTTTTTTTTCGTGAACCTAGAATTGATCGAGCACAGTTTTGTAACCCTTTTCCTGAGTCAATTTCCTTATTGTTAATTTTCCATAGTTTTAGGAACTCAGAGTTCTCACGTTATTTTTGGTTTTCATGTTGTTTCCATATATTTTTCCACTTTTTACACCTCTATCATACTTTTTTTATCGATCTGTGGGGCAGTTTGCATAGTTCGCGCTCATGGGGTACAACAACGTCTGCAAATCAATATTTTTGAGTTGACAACTCAGTAACTGCGCAAATTTTAAGAAAATGTAGTTACCCTTTCGAAAAGCAAAAAGAAATACTTATTCGCCCATTTATTCACCATAAAATATTCAGGTACCTGGCTTATAAATATAACTGGAAAAAACAGTACTCAGAGAGATAAGTTCTTGAACTACTGAGAAAAATGCGCAGTTATTTGGTTGCCAACTTGTATTACGATGTCATTTGGCGTAGATGGGTTTCCACAGCCAGCAGCTTCTGCTCATTTTCTAGGAAGGTTTCTTCTTCATAAATCCTTATATGACGTGTCTAAACATGCAATTATAGCGTATAAGTGCTCCACTGTAGAATTCGTTACAGTATTCTATGCATGGCAAATAATAGCATATCAATATTTTATCGTGTCCAACATCGTAAAAGCTTCATCTCAATCAGTCAACCGCAAAGTATATTTATAAATGTATTTTTAGATTATTTAATGTCTCATTAGATAAGGTTATCGGCATGATTGAGCGATGGCGAACGACTACCACACTGGTGTACATGTGAGTTCATCTTGTTCTTATCATTTTGTTGGCGTTCTCGAATTACCACTTTTTTCAGAGCTGTTTTGTGGTCCTGTATATGCTGTGATAATGTTTGTTATGCTGGTGGTTTCAAGTCTTTGGTGACCGCCTACTTTGATGTTAACCAGTAAGTTTTTGTTGATCAAACTGCAATTTTTGTTTTTCATACAAATATTTTTGTTTCTTCAACTGCTTACTTGTTATGTCAACATTATGAGCCTTTTACCGTAAATAGTTTTGGATATTCAAGCTAGCCGTTTAAAATGTGTTACATGTCTCTTCTATCTGTTCCAAAGCGAGTTGTTCTCGTACTGGCCATTACGGTGCAAACCGTACCTGCCACCAACCTCAAAGGTATCTTACATACATTTATGTTTCAACATACGTTTTCAGGCTAGCGAATTCTTCATGTCCGACTGAGGTTTCACTGCAATTCGGTCCCAAACTTTCTAGCAAGATTCCCTTGAGTGGTACCTCGACTTTGTCGAATTCTACACATCATAAACCAAGGTCCACTGGAAACTGCACGAACAATCTCACTGCAGCGGATTCTCTCAGGTAATTTTGTCCTCTAGATTCCTATAACACACAGTTTTCTATATGTTTTTAAAGCTTTTAACTGTACGCTATCAGGAAAGATTTTCTGCTTTTTCATAGTTTTCTCTTTGGGTCAGAATTTGCTTTCATTCGCTCAAACGCTCCTCACTTTGTTCCTCATAAATTATATGGGGTTTTTAGACATCCGCCATCAACACTCGCCACGGAGACGTCAGAGAATGATAGTACCATCCAGAAGACAACCGAAGAGGCTCACCAACCTATAGTGACGTTTGACGAGTGGACTAAAGAGAAACTGAAGCAGGAGCATAGAAAAGTATTGGTGATAACATTTCGCAGTTTTTCTTTTGTCTTCATAGATATCGTTGTAAGAAAAAAAATTTAAGCCTCCAACACCAACTTCTGAAACTGGCACACCAAGTGTTCGCGCCACACAACTACCTCCTGGAGCTGCTGCAACTCGTAACTATGCTAGCAAAGAGTGTGGAGCCAAAGTGTTGCTTAGTAATCCTGAAGCAGAAAATACTAAAGCAATTCTAAATGAGAAGGTAATTAGATGTTCTTCATGGTTCGGTTGAGGTTTTTCTTGGCCATTTCATTAGATATGATATGTTTTAGGAAAAAGACGAATACATGAGGAATCCATGTGAAAAGGCTGAAAATAAGTTCGTGATTCTTGAGCTCTGCGAAACGGTTCAGGTTTGTCTTAACCAATACTCGTCATCCAAATAGTTACAGCCTCAGTTTTTTATTCTGACTTTCTCACCGTCTTTCAAAACCATGTTTTGTTTTAGCCCCGTAGCATAGAGCTCGCCAATTATGAGCTATTTTCATCCGGTCCCCGGGATATACGATTATGGGCGGCAGAACGATTTCCTGCTGGAGAATGGAAACTTCTCACAGAACTGACGGCTGTTGATTCTCGACAAATTCAGCAATTCCCTATACCCAACAATGGGGCCTACGTGAAATTTATGAAGGTTGGTATCACTTGATTTTACTTCTGCTTTTATTTTGAATGTAATCGTACATATCTTTATCTCTGTTACTGTTATGAATATCGGTACTGTTTGAGTTCTGGAGCTTTCAACCACCATCCTATTCGAAAGGAAAGCATTCTCACTTGCTAGCCACTTTTAATAAGTTTTCATCATTGTTTCTGGAGAAGTTAGGCCTCGATTCTACAGCATTTCTCAGCTTTTCCCTTTCTTCTTTAAGAAGTATATTTTGAGCCATCGGAACCACAATGGAAACTATCTTTTGATGGAGTGCTTGCGATTTTGGTGTGAGTTACCTCGTGTTGCTGAGGGGAAAGTGAGGAAGGGGGAGGGGATTGTATTGGCTACATAGGCACTATTCCTCCCGATACCTCCTTTTTCCGTTCCTTCGTAACCCTTTTACCTTGAATTCCATTTCTGCCACTTGTTATGGTTGTATTATATATTCACCACACACCAATTATTTTTGCAATGTGAGCGTTGTATATTCAATACGATCAGCGGGGTTTTACTATGGTCTTTGCTAATTTTTGAAGCCAACCTACTTTTTTCGTTCCTTTTTTCTTCAAATAGCTTTTGCACTTGTAGGTGGAGCTCATATCTCATTACGGAAACGAGCATTATTGTACTTTGTCGGTTTTGAAGATCCTAGGAATATCAATGGTTGACGAATATGAAGCCGAGGTAATTTTTGACGGTGTGTCCTCATTTAATGTCAAGAAATATGAAAGCTGTCTTTACTTTCGTTTTTTCATAGGCTGAGGCTGCGTCAGTAGTTCACACACGACCCAGCGTCGGTTCAGCAGAGGTGTTACCAAACAACACAACTGTGGAAAGTGCCGACCTTTCGGCTGTCCCTTCGTCCACTGGAACTGGTTCTCAACCCGGTCAAACGCAGGTATGGGCCGTGCATGATATGAAATACCAATGTGATTTATACTTTGTGAAGTAGAATAATGTATTTTCTAGCTTTTTATTGCTAGTTTTTTGTAAGTTTCCCCATATTTGAGTTGAGATTTCCTCACCACATCATATCAGAATTACTTTCATTTCGTCAGCATATGAGACTAGGATGAAAAAAGTTTTATTCTTCAAATCTGAGCTGTTTTTAAGGGAAACGGCATACAGCAACCGAAGGAGCCTCAGTTGTCTGAAACAAAAGAAGAAGTTGTTGAGACGAAGCCTACAGTCATCGAGATCGTTGATGTATGTCTTTTGTTGTGAATGATGAACTGGTCTATAAACTAATGTAACAAATCTAATTAAATCGTTTTAGGAAGTAAGTGGTCGTCTTATCAAAAAAATCGTGGATGTTGTGAAAGACAACTTTGGAGTAGTCAAAGAGAGTAATGACCGCCACTCGAGGTCAGCATTTCAACACGCTTCCTAACTACCTTTTAGCATTCTTTATTATTCATAGCGTTATTTAAGGGAATATACAATTTCGAGTACTTTTATGGCGTGCTATTTCTGTCCAAGCGATGGTACTTATATTTATCCACGACAGTTTTGCCAAGCTTTCGTATGGAAGTCATCAGCACCGCCACCATCTGCGATACAGTAAGTTTTTAAATTTTTGTTATATGAATTCTATTATCTATTCTATTATCACATAAATTCATTTTCTATAGTGTTATAATTCTAAAGTATCCTCTTCTCCACATTAATGATTATTTTCAATAGAGAAGAGACGATTTCACCAAAGCCGGCTGAAGCAAATCGCCGCGGTCAATTGGTCGCCAGTCGTTCCAGAAGGGGTCGCTTTGCTTACCTACACCGGAGATCTTTAAAACGGCTACGTGGTACCGTACATGAAAACAACCAACGTCAAGCTGTACCTCCAGTGGAAAACAACAAATCACAGGACTCACAACCTTCAAAGGTTCGCTTGCTTTGGAGTTGATGGTTTTGGTACTGTGCCGGAAAGTTATTCATTAAAGGGTTTAACAGTAGGCACTTGATATCTTTCATGTCCATAACTTTGGGGTGCAGGGTGCAGTCGAGCTATCGATCGATAGTCTGGTTGATCGAACTATGTCAAACACGCCAGGAAAGGCGGGAACTTTGTCCTGCACATAGATTGATCTCCATGAATGAATCAATATACGGAACTCGTATTCAACATATAGGGCTTGATTACCAAGGGCTACTTTAAAGTACTTTTTGAAAGATTTTCTGTATAATGTCTTGAACAAATTGTGTGTGTCTACTTTTCGTCATTTAACAATTTGATAGTGCTCTTTGAAGGGAGTCCCAGATAAGCAGCCCAATGCTCGTAGCCAACCGGTTCCTTCTGATGCGTGGCCGGCTTCATCGACGAGTCATAAGGTACGATTCTTTGTGTGTTTCGATGTTTCGGTTTTTTCAGCTCAAATACCAATATATTATTCTTATTCAAGTCCAATTCAGGAATCTGTCTTCATGAAACTCAATAAACGTATTGCTGCACTTGAACTGAATATGTCACTGTCTAGCGAATATTTGAGTGAGCTTAGCCGTCAGTATGTCGCACAAACTGATGAACATCAGAAACATCTGAAACAAGCCAGAAAGGTGGTGGATGAAGCCGTCGAGACGATTTACGCACGTGTCAATGAAACGCTCGCCGACAAGGTTAGTGTTAGTCATTTTACGATACTGTTTACTGTTACTTTTCTGTCTAGAGAAGTTTTGAACATCTTTTTTGAATATTTATGGTAATTACCCGTATGAGTGTGTGAATAGTGTTGAAATGGGTTAAGCATCATAACATCTGTCGCTAGAGTTTTTTCTTCTAGAAAATTCGTGTTTGAATCGATAGCACGTGATATTTGTTCTAGATTGCTGCTCTTCGTAAAGAAGTTGACACATTATCGGGTTGGTTAACATCGATGCGTGCAACAGCATCTAAAATGACGGTTAGACGATATGCAAGGGGTGCAGAAAGAATGGATGAAGACAAATGTATTCTAAAGCATACTGATCTTCATCGATACTCACCACCGGACGATGGCCTGTGGACGGTAAGTGATTCAGCGAAGTTCTCTTTGTTTCGGAAGTTTGTAATATTTATGTTGTTTATTACAGACTGAACAAGTCGTCTATATGGTGGTATTCACACAACTTGTTACGGTATTAATCCTCGGTCTTCTCAGTCTCTGTTATCAACGGTTTATTTCTTGTCAGCAATTGACGAAGGATCAAAGAGCTCAAGTGGAGGAATTGATTAACGAAAGGATTTTTGAAACTTTGGAAAGAAATTGTAAGTTTTGTGGTATTTATTTATATATCGATTTATTTTTTTTCACAGACTATCCTTGATAGTATAGAGTGGGCGGTAAATGGCCGTTGTTGTCGAGCGCAAACGGTATCATGACGTGGCTTTGTGCTTTAATGCGATTTCGACGTTGATTCAGCGTTTTCCCACGGGACGCTCGCCCACACATGTGCACAGTTACAACCATGGGAATGGTTTTTCAAGGGAACAGCCTGTGAACGGCAAAGTGAATTGAACTTAGCAGCAGCTTGAAAGCTACAAGACATAGATGTGTTCCAGTGTAGAAGGGGTTGCACCAGTGGCATTTTTAGTGCTGTCCCATATGGCGCTACTGGGCTAGGCGACAGTTTTTTTCTTTCATGTTGAAGTTTAACCTTGCCTTCAACCCATCATCGTATCAAAGAATCCCAAAAACTCCTTTTCCCTCAACCCTTTTGGGAAGTTGTAGACCGACTAGAAAGACTGCTTTCCTAGTCCGCAATTTGGTCGCGAGCGACGGGGACTACTCGTTCTATCGACCAAGATTCAGTTGTAAGCAAGGGGCAACGGGGGGGAACTTACGCGCGTCTGAGGATGCGCGCGGCAATTTACGCGGCAAGTTCGTGGCGATTCGCACGACTCTGGCGCCTACTACTGGTGCTTAACTTGAAGCAGAGTCGTTAAATAAGGTCAGGCAGTCTTACTGACCTACTTTACTTCGAATTTAGGCCCCAATGTTCGAGTCGTTCGAATCGCCACGAAGTTCGCCGCGCAAGTTGTCGCGCGCAGCCCCGGACGCACGTGTGTACCCTTACCCGGGGCAAGCGCCGCCCTCGTCGCTCGCTCGCTCGCGCGCTAGCGGGCCAAATCACGAACTATGAAAGCAGCCAAGGATATGCAGACTTTTAACAGTAGTATGAGTGACAATTGTTGTTCAGGTGCTGTACTGCCGGTGTACGACAAACAGACGCTTGTACGTACAAAACGGCGAAGTCCGCATGTTGAAGAGGCTGGTCCATTATGTCCTGAAACGGATGTGAATTTCATGGCAGAATGTAGCTCATCGTCTCCCACCACGAATAGTGACGAATCAAGCACTGAAGAGTTGCCAATGTCAGGTCGCATGCTGATGCCTTCTGAACTGCGAGCAATAAGTTCTGTGGCTCTGCTCACTTGATCTGACGGTACCGTTCTAAATATTTGCGCAAATTATTTTTTTTTCTGAATTTGTATACAACTATTTTGTTGCCGTTGCAAATATTTACAATACTTACTAGCTGGTAAAAATCTTTTACTTAGGAATTCCGATGAGAATTTAAGTGATGTTCTCAGGTGGTATTGGGTATTTGCTTAGTTGTTCTTTAGTACAGTACCCAGTGATGTATCGACACACCCTATCATTAGGGTAGGCTTTTCAGTATTTCGTCAGAGATTATGTCTGTACAGTTAGTTTCTGAAGTTGTAAGGTTAGGGGAATCGCTAGATTATTACGGTATGTCAGTATTCTCCTTAACGAAGTTGCCTGTTCTCCTATGGTATAGTTGTTATGTTAATTTCTGTCCTGTTTAATGAGTACGGGACATGTGCAGCTCTCCTTCAATGAACCCCATAATTATGAGCCTTGATTGCCACAATCATGTACATAATTTTTTTAGTGAAGGGAATACTGTTTAGACGAAAGATGCCGATAATTCGAAGTGATTTGTGAGTTTTGTCGCTCAGTGTGTGCTCTTTGTACATTAGTCCTTCTGTGCATAGGGTGTGACTGACCAGATTCGAGAAAATTCTTTGAGAAAGAATTAGTGTACTTTCTCCTACGCTTTTTGAAAGCCAAAAGATAACGCGCGTCAAATTTATTGTTTTGTCTGTACGTTTGCCTGCGGCCAATTGCTTAAGCCTCCAATTGGCTGCTTTCAGACTTCGACGACCGTCCGTCCGTTTAACGCGTGCGCGACGGCGATCGTGTGCGTGTCGCGACGGCGGTTCTAGAAAGGTGTTGACAACATTAGATCACGTGCCAGCGCTGCCAACACCACTCTAGAACCGCCGTCGCGGCACGCATGCGACCGCCGTCGCGCACGCGTTGAACGGACGGACGGACGGTCGTTGAAGTCTGAAAGCGGCCATTCTGGTGAGACATTAGTGTCGTTGAAGGTGAAAACAAGATCAGGTGGTACATTACTATGAATTTCTCGAATCTGACTAGTTAGCTAACTACTTCAGAGATATCAGCTGTGTTTCATCTTGTACGGGTTGAGGAGTCATAGCTTACATCTGTGATTCCTAAATTGTACCCAGTGTTCAAGTTTATCCATAAGAATATTTATCTAATATTCGATAATTTTTCAAAGCTAAGAGTAATGTACTTGATTTCGACTCATTTCGTTGTACGATCAGTTATACTGTATTATGTACTGTACCATTTAATGAATGGCAAAGATAGAACTGTCATGTACTCTATTATCTAACATGTTTTTTCTTGCAGAAGAGAATTCGTTTAAATGTGCAAAAGAAATACCAAAGTTTGGTTTTGTACGTGTCTCTACTTAAAAGGGCTATCGTTTGGGTACGATAAGTTCTTCAAGTAACCTACGAATGTGAAGTGCATTTGTCGTAAATGATTCCGAGTCAAATAAAGTTTCGATAACAAATCTTTGGATTTCTCAAAGCAAATTCTCGATTCCTAATTTTTAGAAGATTTGGGGGTGTGGCCACGGATGGACTAACGTGGAACGGGCGCAAGGAACCGTCCAGCAGGTGCAATGGGATTTATTTGTGGTGCGGTTAATTTATTTTACGATATGTTTCGTTACCAGTTCTTGGTGAGAAAATATTGCATGTATTTTCTGTGGAAGATCATTGAGTTTGTTCGAGTTCGTCTATTTAATGGGAGAACGTTTCTTGCTTACAATTAGAAAGGGGAACAAAACAAGTATTGATCGCTTTACGCGATTTCTATTTACGGTACTCTTGAGGCTGCGTGGGCTCCGTTGCACGCGTCGCTCGAAACTAGGTCAGCCGCTGCCGTCGCATGTGGCGGATCAGCCCGCGATCTTTGACAGACGTCGCAGTTGTCAGTGGGGCATATGATTTGCGCTTGTTCCACGGCAACCAGATCAAAGAGAAAATAACGGACAAATGCAAATCATTCGCTCCACACACTCTTGCTGGTAATGTAATGTCATCTCGAGACCTCGGTGAGATGCGCCGCTCGCGAAATGGGCGCGGTTACCTACTTTCGACGGACGCGCGCAACGGACGTCACCCCCTTGGGTATCGATGCGCTCTGATGATAATGATAACAGTAGTAGTCTATTGCTGACCGTTAGCCAAGACTTGTGGAAGGAATACCATCAAAGGTTAAGCACAATCTTCAAAACTTCATTTTACTACAGTTACAATAACTTGATAACAACAATGGCAGAAGAATTTGTCATGAGTATATGTATGATTACGATCAGCTTGTTCCCTCGGAGGGTGGCTGTTGGAGTGTTTCGGCTGGGTTTACTGGGGTCACGATAGGTCTCTGGGGTTCCTGAGATTCCGCTGGATCTGAGAGTTTTCGTTTTTTCACCCCATCGGCTTCATGTGATTTTCTCTTCAAAAACATGTCCGTGACAGTACATATCAACCATACCATTAAAACAGTCAGTGCAACTGAGATCAACAATAATGGGATGAAAATATCGAGGTGGTAGATGTTTGTGAGGCTTCCGTTCGATACACTGGAGCGTGGTCTGGGCGTCACACCATATTTAGCCGCATATTCCACAGTACGTATAAGCTTCTCATTCCTTGATACCAGTTTTGATTTGAGCGCTTCGGAGAATGCTTTTGATAAGTCACGTATTCTGGAATTTAGCTTTTATTAGGTTAGAAATTTAGTTTAATAAATGTAAAGTAATAGCGATGTACTTTTATAGCCAAAGAACGAACTGGGTTCAGATGAATTTTGTCTTCTTCATGAAGATTTTCAGCTTACATAGCTACTCTCAAACAAAGTCCACATTGACTTCTCATGCTTCGCCCGGAGAACGTCTGTTGCGCGTGTCCGTCGAAAGTGGGTCACCCCGCCCACTTCGCGCGCGGCGCATCACACTTAGGTCTCGAGATGACATTACAGTACCACCAAGTGTCGTTGGAGCAAATGATTTGCATTTGTCTATGTTATCTCCTTCTTGAACTGACTGCCGTGGACCAAACGCAAAGCGTATGCCCCAGTGACAATTGCGACGTCTGTCAAATATCGCGGGCCGACTCGCCGCGTGCGACGGCTGCGGCGTGACCTAGTTCCGACGGACACGCGCAACGAAGCGCACCCGCTTCGCCCTTAGAATCTCAAATGAACGTTCATCCGTTGGACCAACGAAAGACTTTTTTTTTGGACTGCCTGAAGAGATTGGAAAGTGCAGCA